ATATAATAAGAACAAAAAAACGTAAAAAGAAAGTTTGAAAGAACACTGGCCGCGTTCGCGGCTCTATTCACAGGAAGTTCGTGAATAAGGAAAACACGGTAATGAAGAACTATTACCTGCAGAACTTTGTTGGGTCAATGCAGTAAGGTGACGTCTTGCACCCTGTTTGATTATTGATTCACGCCAAACAGCTTTTGCAAGCTAGCTGCTGTACAGTAGTGCTTGATAATGAAAGCTCGGCCCTCTGTTGCATCATTGGTAAAAAGTAGAAGTTTTCAAGTTTCACAGTTGAACCGTAAAAGTATAGAAAAAGTCAAATACTTTTGTTCAGTTTTTGCTCCATGTTGCTGCAGTCATTTATGTGTGTCGCTGCTCAAAGCACGCACACCTACGACGCCAGCTCACTGACTGTGGTCCTGATTCAAACACCTCCGACAGCCCGACGACAGCCATGTTGGCGACTCTAAAGGTAATTTTTTGAACATTCTTTTGTATCGGATAGGATTTCAACATTCCTAATATTCATAGTTTATCCCATCCCTTCCTGTTTTCTTGACGAACAAAGGGCAACGCTTTCTGGTATTATACATACACTGGAGCACGCCCAAAATAAAGGTCCGCGTATTCACAGCAATGTTTGTGACCCGAAGAAAGAAAATAAAGGTATTCGGGAGCACGATAAACGTCTTCCTATCAGCAGCATGGGAGAAACTGCAAGGAAACAGAAATTATCACGGTACAGGATGTGGCTAGCTGAAGGCAAGTGACGTACGGCGATCTAGAGGGTATCAGCTGCAAATTATTCTTGCCCTCTCCGCCAGCTATTTGGCTGCTTTTTTCCATCGAAGAGGACAGGTTAAGAGGCTAGCGCGGCTACATAAATGAAGAAAAGACTCCTCAGTCCTGAGGCAAATGGATTTTCTCCTATAAGGCGGTCGGTCTTTAGGTCACGTAACTCTTCCCTCGCGTTTTTTCTGTGGCTGCAGGCGATGGGTTTCTCGTGCTTCCAAGCTTTTCCTTTCCAACGGCATTTCTTCAAGGATCAATCGAACGATGGAGCGTTCTCGCTCTCAGGTCTAGTTGTGCGATGCGTTGAGGTGTGGCTGGAGAAATCGCTACTAGAGTCAGCCGCGAAATTCTGTGCTCGTACAGGCGAACCCTGTGAGGTCTCTCGTTCCTTTCTAATATGTACCTCTCCGTTAGTGGAAAACAATGGATTTTTTTGTTAATCTCGTTTTGTGGCAGTTTCTTGTACAAGTCTTGATTATGATGTTCACGTATGTAATCGGTTAAAATGCTCCTGTGGGCCTGAATAAGGGTTTTGGACTCGAAACGTCGCATAAAAGCTGGAAGAGTGTTGTTCCACGAGAATGCAGAAAGAAATCCTTATGTCTCGTGGATACATCTCCATCATGTTCGTGATGGTTGCCTAATGTTGAGCCTACGAAGAGGGGCTGCTTAAGGTAAATGATCAGCCTACGTTGCATGCTTTTGCAGCGTAGTACTACCACTGCGAAGTAGCAGTGTCTCGCGCTCCATCTAACCACACTGCGATCGTGTTCGCCTTATACTTCCATTATTAGGTACAGCAAATGGATAGGAAATACACACTGTCCAGAGTTGATTAGGAGGGCCATTGTGATTGTTTTGGCGCTTAATGGACTACGATAGACCACTTGAGAGGTAGTATTTCTCCCGTACCCAGAGTGAGCATGGGGTGTATTATTAGGTCATCCCATTCAAAAGTGCCGACGGTTTATTCGAATAAAACAAAGAGGAGAATAGATAAAAAAGTATATTTTAGCTTCAAGTTAAGTAAATCCCTCCTTCACCAATGACCCGCTCCCAGTGCCCCGAAAGCCTTTGGACCTCTGGTACCTTCGATTTTTCAACAAGTGTGAGTAAATTGCTGTTGATGCCAATTTCGGCAAATGACAAAACATTGTAGCGTTTGCCGTCGGAGAGTACTCTCGACTGAATAGAACAGTTGGAATCGCATGGCTTTATGACGGGCGAATGGGGCGATTGAACCCAGGTCTCAGTATTGTTTGTGTCCCAGCACTGCCCTACAATACAGTTACTCGGGGTCTGGCACTATGACGAGCAACGGTGGCCTTCTTGTAGTTGTGTGATCATCCATTTGTCGATCTGATTGCCGAGGAACAGGCAATATGTACCGACAGCGACGGTTTTGTTCTCTGTATAGAGCCGCTTGAAAGCCACAGTGGAAATATGATGATCATCCACTTGCGCCCACGTAACTCCTCATGGTAGAACTCGGGCGGCTTCTCATCTGCATTCATACAAAATTGACAGTTGTGAGTTTTGGCTCGAGGTATATTTCATCTAGAGCCGGGGTGCGTTTTCGCGGTCGTGAATGACATCTCTCGCTGAGAACATTACTGCTAGAGGCATAGTATCGGCACTGCGTTCGTGCTTCTATAAGAAAATGCGCACACCCCTTTGACCATCCTCAGTTTATCGGACATAACTCGGGCAGCAGTTGCAGCAGGGATGTCAGTCTCGCGGGGAAGCTCGACAAAGGTCCAGGCTCTGGATCAGACATTCAGCGCTTGACTTCATCCACCCTTTTTTCTTGTGCAGGATGAACATTATGGGACCATCCACGACAACAAATTTTTTCCTTTCTTCCTTCTTCGGGCTCCTGAACCAAACCTTCCACCTTGTATTTCGAGAACACCATTACACACAACTACTGGTCCGGCGCCGGTCGAATTTGAGCAGCGCACTTTCCTCTTATGACGCCTGATTTGAAAAACCGGCGCTGATTTTCACCACTCAGGCTTCTTTTCAATTTCTCGAGAACTTCTTCTGTGGGTAGGTTCGCCAAATTTCACAGATACATAGCTAAAGGTACTAGCCTCCAAATGGTATAGTAGCCCGCTGCTCTATCCCCTTTGCTTTTCTGCTATTCCCCTACATGTATCGGCACTTTTGAACGGGATGACCTAATACTTTCGCCAGTCTAGTGCACATGAAAAGGAAGATATAGGCTTGTGATTTACATAAGATTCATCCAATGTTAGACCAGAATCCCCGCTCACTTCACAGTCCGCTGCTGGCGTATATTCGCTGAACAGTACTATCTCGCTGAATGGCCATATTTCGTCGCATGGTATCTCCTTCGTATATTAACTTACTCGCAGTATGTTTGTCTCAAATACAGTTGCAGAAAGGAGAGTCTTACCAAGAGCATTTTCAGCAGTTTTTTTTTCTCTGTAGAGTAGCCACTTGTCAATACTTGTAAGTTCCACTATTGTACCCCACTACCCACGACTGCCTTTAATCATGAGCAGATTCACAGCTAACCGGAATAGCTCCCAAGAATAGGTCCCAAGTTGAGCGAAATAGATCACATGATCGGGAATTTCAGTATCAAGCTGAGGCTGAGCGTGCTCCGCTAATATCGCCACCCGACATGAATTCGTCGTTTCGGAACAAAGGAAATTCACTGGATATATCATCAGTGAGCAATAACGGGCTCAATTTGTCACATGCCTCATATGCTCCGCCTCCTAAGAAAAGTAAGTTTGTACAGCAATCCCTTGTAGGAACAGTATTTTTCACAAACGTCGGTTGAATCGGTATTAAGAAAGGCTGATATGCTTCTGGTGCTGTAAGTTAGTATCATTGCGATAGTGGGCGAACAC